TGAATTACTATGTGGCCTGTCTAGTTCACTTTTCAGGGTATCTCCACTTCTCATTGCTTTTGAACTACCGCATAATTTTGCAATTTGTAGAAAATTGTTAATAATGCAAATGCTTGCCCATAGAGATGACATAATTTCTGTGCAGTGGAATGCCATTGATTTGTACTCTGGGAACAGTGATCACATTGCATCTATCTCTGTGAATTCATTTCAGCATTCCTGACAACCTATGTAAGTGTGTTCTGTGAATTATCCTTTGACCTAGTGGTAGCATCTTAGTGGTCCCCACATTTATTAATTAAAGTATTTTATGTGTGCTTATTTTTATTTGTTTAAGAATGTAATTTTACCTTTAAAAATTAATCTCAACACTATTATATTTTATATTAACATTTTATCACATTCCCTCCTTCCCTAGGCTACATAGAAGAATTTAAACTGCAATGGGGACATTAATAGCCCACCCCCCATACTAATGTACATGCTAATATACACTCATATGTAATGCTGGGAGGAACCTTAGAGATCACAGGTTATGGGGTTCCATCTCATTTTACATAGCAGGAAGGTAACACACAAAGAAAATTAATTGATGCATAAGATCAAAATCCAGTTAACAAATAACCAAGAATACAACCTATCTCCAAACAGGCATGGCTTTTACTTGCTCTATTTCCCTTTATATGGTTCCATAAAGGAAAAAAAAAAAATAAGAGATTCCAAAACCCCAGTCTATCTATAGTAATCCTATCTGTAGTAACATATCTCTAGGTTGACAATTTTATGTGTATTTCATAGGAAAAGAAATATTTCTTTAATACCCAGAGCATCTAAAACATATACCAGAATACAAACACTAATGAAAAATAATAGAGTGCACAGTTTTGGTCTAGTGACTTTAATCTCACAATCTAATTTTTCTCTGTTGTTTTCTAGTTATTGTAAGGATTTACTTCATTGCAAAGAATACACCTTGAAGTGAAACATTACTAAGATTTAAAACAATTTTTAATGGATTATTCAAATGAAAGGGTTAACGGACAAAGGCTGCTTTTCTTTTTTTAAGTAGATGATTGCTTGTCCTACCATAAGGGCTGCCTTACAACAAGGATGAGTGATCATTCTGGGCAAAGATCCACAATACAAAGAGGGAATATTCATATTTGGTAATAATTGATTGTGCAGGTAGAGTTTAAAATCACTAGAGGCTCGTGAAGTATTTGCACTAAAAATGTGATCATACAGTAGCTTGATGAGCAGTCCGTATATACACACAGCCTGGTTGGCAATGTATGCAAACAATTTTCAGATGAAAGTAGTTTGGGTGGCAGAAACAGGGTCCATAACCCAGAAGTGGCAACTATTGTGTCTTTAGCTCAAAGACTCCCTATCAGAGGTTTGGTGAGGACTGCAGAAGGCAGCAGTTCTTAGGTGGTGTGCATTTGACAGTCAAAGTAGAGGGGAATTAGAGAGTAAATATATATGCAGTACAGCACCTCAACTAGGTTTGGGAGCCTAGCGTACAATATTTAAGGAGGCACCCACTTGCACATCCCTGGGAGTGAGTGTCCCCTTAGGAATGAGATGCAGTAAACAAGTGGATGGGATAAAAACAGACAGAGAGGGAACCAGAGACACCGTCCCTTTCTACATGGTTTATACGCTAACCGCAAGAGAGGCACCAAGACGTGGGAGGAAATGATCAAGGGAAGTAGCTGAGCAGACCTCCCCAAGGTGGATCACCCTAAAACATAAACCCAAACCCAGTTCCTGGCACAGAGTCCATGCCCCCATTGTGTTTATTAATTGAACAAATGACAGAAGGATAAATGAATGACGGAAAAAAAAAAAAAAAAAACAGACACGGAAGGATACTAGGAAATCAAAAGATCCGTAAGGGGACAATAGGGGAATTTCCAGAGCAGCAGTATACAAGGCATGGTGAGGGCTGTGATTTCCTATTGTGTAGCTCGATAAAGTATTTTGAACTTGAAAAACAGATAACTGACATTTCCTTAATTCCTACTATAGTGCCTCTCAAGACATACAATGCACCCCTGAATTCTTCCCTATGTGTGTTGACACTTTATTAGACTGCTAATTGCAACTAAGTCCCTGGTCACATAAACTTTACTATCCAAGAATAACAGGAGCCCAAAGAACCATTCCCATATATGGGATGTGAAAAGTTTTTAAAAATATTTATCATTGACATTTTGCCACCACAGACACAAAGCTCAGGCTTTCTCAGGCATCGGCGCTGTTTCTTTCTCTATTTCTGGATCGGTGGGGTTGGGCAAACACACTTTTGATTATTATGTAATCTCTTACCTCTTGCTGTCCAGATTTCCCAGTTTAATAAAAAAGAAATTGTAGTTTCCTCTCCGAAACCCACACTGCATTATTCCAAGCAACTGTGCCATCACTTATGCAGTTACCTCTTCTTGGTGCTCCCTTCACACCCATCCTTCACACCAAATAGGAGAAAATCTGTCTCTCTTACTAGACATGAGCAAACTCTTTAAAGATGAAGGTCTTGGTTGTTTCTAAGCTCCCTGCATTTTTTACAGAAGAATTCTAGTACAAAGTTAAAGCCCAAGACATATCGAGTGAGCCGAATTCAGAGCAAAGAGCTGATGTCACTTGGTGAGTTACTAATAAAAGCATAAGGCTGGAATAATCATGAATGAGCAGAATAAGATTGAGGGCAAATGTCCCTTTTTACTCTGCACTTTTTCTTAGCCAATGATGGAAGCCAGCCTTTCATTACATTCTCTGTCACCATCATCCAGCCCAGGCAGCGATTCACAGTTCCCTGTTGCCCAAACTCAATAATAGCACCCAGAGAGAGGAGAGAAATGCACAGTGCACAAACAAAACGAAAAATCACGGAGAGAGAGAGTGAGAGAGACAGAGAAGGAAGGAGAAGAGAAGAAGTGAGAGAACAGAAACAAAAGTAGTTGGAGATTAGCAGAGATGAGATACTGAGGGAGATACTAAGGAAAGATCACTATGCAGATAATGGAGGATGCAAAGGCTATTCATTTTGTCTGATCCCTGAAATCTGAATCTTCACATTATACTTTGAGAAGTTTAAATATTGGAAACATTCCAATGTATCAATTTCCACTCCTACTCTTTTCCTACCTGTTTCAGGTTTTGGCTTCCCACTTCAAAGATTCCAATAAATGGGGCAAATTCTCCAAATCATTTCAGAGCTAGATCCTCTACGACACTGGACAGCCCGTCCTTCTATCTTGGGATCGTTCACAGTTTTAAACATTTCTCTGTGTTCATTACTCCTTGTACGGCCTGATGCCTTGTTTGCTTGAAGCTAGAATTTTCTAGTGCCCAGGGTTTTCTCACCGACCATGCCACTGTGACCCTTTGAGTTTGTTTTCCCAAGTGGTTCTTTAGTCCACGTTTTACTCATTCCACATTATTCAAAGAATTAGTAGTTCGCCCTGGATGCTAATGGCCATAATTTAGACTCACGGATCTTTTTGTCTTACTAATAAAAATTTTAAGGCCTGTTTGTACCAAAGTCAATGAGTAACTAACTCTGCTCTTGATGACACATTTTTAATTGTAAATCTTTGGGTGTGAGTGACAGAAATTGTATTTTATTTTAATTAGTTTAAATGAAAAGAAGGTTTTATTGGCCCATATAATCAAAGCACATGAAAGACAAGTAAAGCTGGTTTAAGGGTCAATGGGAGTCAGAGGCTCCTGTGTCACCAAGAGCTTCTATATCCCTTGTGTCTATCTCTCTATTTCTGTCTCTTGGGCAGTTTTCTGTGCTCAGAGGATATAGTTCCCACACCTCCATGGTTAGCCCATTGTCTCAAGTATAAGAGAAAAGATACTCTTTTTTCTCAGATCCAATCAAGAAAAGCTTAAGGCAAAAGTGTCAGGGAAGATAAAACAATCAACACTCATGGCGCATGATTGGAGGGGATGATAATCTTTGATAGTTTCTCTCCCACTTGCAGAGAATTATGACTAAATACATTATGGAAAAAGTCCTAACTATATTTTCGCACTGCTTTCAGTCTCTTAAACAATCACTTGCTCAAATTAAAACAAACACAGAAGGTGTTCTTCTCATGTCTGAATAGCATCCCACAAAGATTTATTTTTATTCTCACTATCACAGCTGAACATTGGATTCCAAAGATACCTAGACAGGTTATAAGATCCAGACTATTGTAAGTAATCTAATTTTTACTCCCATTTGATGCAGAAATCACTAAAAAATGGATTATTCATCTTCTACTTATTGAGGAACTCGGTAACCTAAAGGAAAAGCACACAGGTCATAGCGATTTTATAAATTTATAACTTAGTAATATATATTTCTTTATAACAAGCCAAAATTTGCCTCCCTATAACACTTTCCATATCTCACAGTTTTAACCTTGAAGTCCCTCTTTGTATCTCTCTTTTCTCTCTCTGTTTCTTTTACTCACACATACATACACACAATGAATAATCCATTTTTTATATGTTTAAAGACAATCATAATGCCTTCCAGTACCTGAGACTTCATATTTTCTCTTTTGCATGCCAACATATCAGATTTATTCAAATATTTTATATATTAAAAACATTTTACATATTTTCAAAATAATTACCTTGTCAATATCTTCTGAACAAACTCTAACTCAATATCATTTTGAAAATGTATACTCAAAACCAAATATGGTTGTTGATGTAAGGGGGACTTCCTCAAAAACACTATGAGAATGTTGACTACATTACATGTATAGTCTCAATAACATTGTTAAAAATCCAACCAGTTTTGATGGCAGAAGACATTCACTGTTGGCTCTTAGTCGGTGGCATGCCCAGAGAATCTCTCCGTAAACCAGGCCTGATGACATTTCCTAGGGAAATGGTTTTCCTAGGAAAGGTACTCTGAGGGCTTGGGGCCCCAAACACATCAAAAATCAAACTTAGAAAAATAATAAAAAACAATGAGCACATACCGGGTGCAAGAGAAAATGAATTTATTAGGTCAAACAAAACTGAACGTCCATCCATTTTGTAAGAAGAATTTATATAATAATGAATTACTTCTTTCAAAATTACAGACATTTGACTCTATGTTTTGGCCACTCATTATTTCACAGTCTGAAAGAGCTAGATTGTCACCCAGTGCTAGCTGTCAGACAAAAGATGAAGAGTTGAAGATGAGAGGAGTTAGCTAACACTGCTGCAAAAGCCTATGATAGCAGCTCTAAGTAGAGACTAAGATATTTTGCTTCAAAGGTCTCGAAATTCAGTAAGTTGACCTACAGAAGGTTGATTTATAGGTTGGTCTGTAACAAGAAGACTGGCAGCTCCTAGAAGCCAGGTAGGATGGGCGGTAGAATCCTGATGCACAGCTCTGAGAAGAGAAGCCACAGCCTCTATAACTGAGGGGTCTGAAGCCACTGGATCTACAGCCCAGGGAGTAGCAGCTCCTGGATCCATAGCCCAGGGAGCGGCAGCTGCTGGACCCAAAGCCCAGAGATCCAGAATAAGTCGTCTGGCAGGGACTGCAGAGCAAGGAGGTCCTTGGGCGGTAGCAGGACGTCTGGCAGGGACTGGACACCACATAGGACGTCCGGCAGCTGGTGGGCTCACAGCTGGTGTCCTGACAGCCGCTATAGAGAGAGGATCCCAGCTGGCAGGTGCTGGGGAAGCAGAGGTCAGGGCTGTAGACCAGGTTGCTGGGGAAGGAAGAGCCACAGGAGGAGCTTGGGTAGCGCAGGTAGCCCCCAAAGGAGCGGGAGGAGAAATTTCCAGAGCAGCAGTTGTAGGGCATGTTGATGGGAGATGCGAGTTCAGCTGAGTTACACTGAGCAGATTCTCTGAATTTTAATGTCATGGTCTGGACTCCACATTATATATACTCTTAGACCTGGGTGTGTCCCCCGTCCAGATGCTCCCTCCCCCTTGCTCATCTTTTATATAAGAATGCCTGCCGACATTATTGCTTAAGTTTAATTTATCATATCTTCATATACTTAATTGTATCTAGTCACTCTGGTACACTTAGGAGGAAGCCATTCAGTTTTTTTCCCTGGAATTAGCTGTGTTTTGACCTTCAATGTGATAGGCCATCACATTTCCCAACATCCTCCCTCTTATTATCTACGTGTACAGTGTGTTCTTGTCCTGCCAAATGGAATTACATAAACTCTTTCTTCACTTCTATTAAGTTAGCCGGAGCATCTGTGGTTATTATTCAAAATCGTTTGTTATTTTTTTTATAAACACACTATAATGGATTTTTTCAACCACAAACTATATTCCGTGGCTTCAACGATCTGTTAGTTAAGCCTTTTACTCATATCTTGAGCTCAGGATCAGAATTAAAGAGTGCAACATTGCCGTTGGTGTTTTTAACAATGGACATCCTTAGAGAGGCTTTCTTAGACCATGATCATTTAAGAAATAATAAACACACCCTTTTAGTGAGACTCTAAATAGAAATTTTTTTGCATTTATTTTCTGATGGTGATGATTCTGTGTTGTAGCAGGCATGATTCTATGCTTATGCTCTAAATCAACTCACGGGGCTTTTAACATTTTGTTTTAGTTTGTTTAAAATTTTTCTTGATGAAAGAACAGATTGTTACCTGCAATTATTAATATATACCTAAAATAACATTTCAGAAATTGTTAACATTTTTTGAACCTACTAACTTGAAATATTAGAGCTTCATGGGTCTTTAAATATCCCCTTGTCAATCCACACATGGAAAAATTATGTCTTAGAGAGGTTCAATAACTTCCCTCTAATTTCTCAGTAATATAAAAGCAAAATTGAGGCATAAACCACAGTTTCTTTATGCAGAGTCAAGTTTCCAGTACTTTGCAAATTGAAAAGCAATTTTGACTTAACTTGTCTCAGAAAAGAATCTATTAAGCTTATTTATACTAAGATATAAAAGCCTAATAAAGCCTTGTTTACCTCTCCTAAAGATATTTGCATTGAATAGTATTCAAGAGGGGAATTCCACGCATTACTGATCTTTATACACTTAAAGTATATTTTACAAAATAGTTTCTAGCTCAAGAAAGAGAAAACAATCTGAATAATCCATGCTTAGATTAATAGGAGAAAAAAAAAAAGCCTTCCTATCTGGTTTGTGCCCATTCTTCTTATTTTGAATCTGACATTTTATTTGGTTTAACTAAGGGAAATGGCATTCACAATTGTCATTGAAGAGACCCCCTTAACTACCTGAAAATTAGCTTGCTTTATTTCAAAGCACGCTGCTTCAGAGCACTTAGTTACTTTGTTTTATGATTATCTCTCCCATGCAGAATCCAAAGAGTGGCATGCATCACATGAAGTGCCCTTGTGCAATACTTAAACCATCACTCTGATTCACTGAAGTAAAATAAGCTATGCTTTATGAATGGACACCTATTAAATTTCCTTTAAAAAAAGATGTGCCACCCCTTCATACATGAGATTCCTTATAATGCCAGCCTTTAATTCCTTTAGAATGGAAAATATTTATTTCTTTCTGTTAAATGTTGATTATGCTAAAGGAAAAAAAAACAACTTTCTAACATCCAGAAATTCCTGCTTTTCTAGGCTAGCTCCCTATGTCTGGGAATAAACATTAAAGCAACTTGGGAATAAGTCAATTCCAATTGACATTCCCTCCGCCCATTCCTAATTAGGTTAACACTTTTCATTAGAGTTATGTGTGCTTTGTACAAATGCTAATGAACAACTCATAAAGGCTAACAAATGTGTCCCTCTGAAAGGAAGGAAAAGCAAAACAAAACTAGAGTAGCTTTAATAGTTCAGAAGTGGATTGCTGGAACTAATAAAATACTCTATAGGCTCCGTATACATAGGCAAAGTGTTTAAGAAAAAAAAAAATTTCACTATCTGGGTATGTCAGAGGAAAAATGCAACACTGAAAACATTTCTTTTTTCTTTTTTTGAGAAGTTGAGGAATATTAACACTACAGAGAATGAAATTAACATGAGAGTACCCAGTTGCCACAAGCACCTTATGATCTGAATTACTTGAAAAGGGATTGTTTTTCCAGGTCACCATAGCAATGCAACTCAGACTTCAAGCTGATCATCTTCTATTGCCATATTTCTAGATACTGTTAAAAATCTTTCAAATTAGGCAAATATTAGTCAGTGATATAAATAGAAGAAATCCATATGTTTCACACTATACCTTTTTTTCCATCCTGTTCACGTTTCTATTTTATCTTCAAAACTTCCTTCTCTAAACCCGTTAGAGCCTTTTATTTCCTGGCCTATAAAGGTTCTTCCTTGTAACAGTCGTTCTTCACTAGATCTTACTTTCAAAATTCTCTTACCCAGAAGGGATTTATCTGTTAAATTTTAATGCAAAGTATGGACTGAAGGACCCACTGTCGAGTGTAGGACTTGATGGGAACTCTGCTCATGCTCATGGCTTCTTCCCCACACACCTGTGCAAGCCTGCCCTGGGCTGCTGCTTTCTTGGAGGTTGTCCCACCACATCTTTGAGATTCCTCCAGGCACTGATTCCTGTCTTACCTCACTGTAGTGTTTCCTGCTTCTAATTGACTCTTTTTGCATCTTCAGATCTCCATCATCCATAACTTTAAATATAAAAAAGGCCAGTGTAGCTGATTTCTAAACAGCTGCTTACAGATTTCTCTGTTCTTTTTACCCCTTCTAAGATCTTACACTTGTATTTCCCCAAGTCAATGCGAAAAACTGGAAAAACTAAAGAAAATTATATAGAGTAATAAAGGAAATTTTACAGTAGTTTACTGGAATGCCTAAAATTGCAATTCTTACCATTTTGTCAGATTTGTGTTCATCTCTGTCTTTTTTATTTTTAATTTTTATGCATCAGAGTAGTTGTACATATTTATGGGGTACATGTGGTATTTGAATCCATGCAAACAATGCGTAACGATCAAATCTGGGTATTTGGGATATCCATCACCTCAAACTTTTATATCATTTCTTTGTGTTGGGAACATGCCAAATCTACTCTTCTAGTTATTTTGAAATATGCGATAAATTATTGTTAACCATAGTCACCCTATTATGCTACCAAGCACCAGATCTTATTCCTTTTATCTAACTGTATTTCTGTACCCATTAACCAACAAATCTCTGTTCCCACCTCTCCACTTCCCTTCCCAGCCTCTAATAACCACCATTCCATTCACTGCATGACAGAGACAAGCCTCCATGGGCCAACCTCTCAGTCTGATTCTCCCTCCCATCTTCCCAGTAATATCACAATAATGCATTCATTTTTGAGTAGCCTTCCAGGAAATTTTCTTTACATATATTTATAGATATATACAGTTTATTGTTTTGTTATTATTGTTTTAAGTTACAATAATGCTATCTTCTTGCACATACATTTGTAGCTTTCTTTTAACATTCAAATTATTCAAATAAAATATTTAAAATACGTCATGTTGATATAAGATTTATATATTTGTGTATTATTTATCACCACTGAAGTAGTGCTTTTAAATGCTAGGCACTGTTCCTAGCCCTTTATTACAAATATTAGCTCATTTAATCCTCATAATAATCCTCCATGGTACACACTGGGTTTATTCTTATGTTATAGATGAAGAAGCTGAGACACAAACAGGTACTGCCCAAAGTAACCCATGCAATTAGTAGCAAAGATGGGATTTGGACCCAGACACTGACATGATGTCAGAGTTTGTGCAAACACCCACTTTGCTATGATATAAAGATCTAGTTTCTTCCTTGTTACTATTTTATAGAATTCTACCATATAAAAATACTCTATTTTATTTATCTCACTACTATTTTTATTTTTTACCATCACAAACCATGCGGGAAGGAATATGTCTAGGGCTTCTGGCAGGTAGATGTAGATGAAATTGTTGGGTATATGTGATTTCAATTTGGCATGGCAGTTAGGATCATGGTTCTTGGATTTAGGATGGCTCTGTTTGAACTCTGACTCCATCACTTAATAGCTGTATAACGCAAACCTATTTGAATTTCTTTTTTTTGTTTTCTTTTATACATTATTCCATAGAGTCATTTGTTATATTAAATTTATTTTTAGAGTGAATTTTTATCTCTCCTTTAGCGGTGTCAGCTCAAATCTTTTGACTGTTTTCTATTTGAGTTATGTTCTTATAATTGAGTTTGAAGAGTCCACTGTACACCCATGATTCAAGTCCTCTATCAAAATATGTGTTTTTCAAACATATTCTTTTAGCTTGTGGCTTTAATTTCATTTTCTTATCAAAGTCTTTGAAGAACAGATGTTTTTAATTTTGATGAGGTCTATTTTAGCCAAAAATCTATGAGTAGACAGTTCAGATAGTTTAACAATTTTTTAATTTTCCTTTTTTTTTTTTTGTATATGGATGTGTCCAACAATACCAAGACCATTTGTTGAAAAGACTGCCCTTTCCCATTGAATTATCATGACACATATGTCAAAAGTCTACTAATCATACTTGTGTAGATTTCTGGAGTCACGCTTCTGTTCCATTGATGTATATGTCTATCCTTAGGACAAGACATACAATATCTTAATTATTATAGCTTTGTAGGAAGCCTTGAAATCAGATTGTGAATCCTCAAACTTTGTACTTTACTTTCAAAATTGTTTGCCAATTCTAGTTCCTTGTGCACTTTCATCTTATGTTAATACATTTTAGAATGAATTTGCCAATTTCTACAAGAAAAAAAAAATCCCTGATAAGATTTTGATTGGGATCATGTCAAATCTATGGGCAATTTGGGGAGAATTTGCATCTTAACAGTATTGAGTCTTCTGTTCTATGAGCATGATATATCTTTTTGTTTATTTAAACG